AACCCACAACAGGAAGATCAGGAATAGGTGGATCAACAACAGGCACATCAGGAAGAACAGGGACATCAGTCGAAAGAGCTGAGACATCTGGACCATCTGTGGTTGATTTAGGAACATCTACACCATCAGCTATAGGGTCAGGCACAACTCGTCCATCATCTGAACTGTCAGGGGCCACTGGAGCAACACCTGGAGGGTCAGGGACAACTGGTTCAGGAGCTGGAGTGCCTGGAACAACTGGATCACCACAGGGAGCTACTGGAAGGAATGAACCGACAACAGGAAGATCAGGGACAGGTGGATCAACAACAGGAGCATTAGAAAGAACAGGCACATCAGTCGAAAGCGCTGAGACATCTGGACCATCTGTGGTTGATTTAGGAACATCTACACCATCAGCTATAGGGTCAGGCACAACTCGTTCATCATCTGAACTGTCAGGAGCCACTGGAGCAACACCTGGAGGATCAGAGACAACTGGTTCAGGAGCTGGAATGCCTGGAACAACTGGATCACCACAGGGAGCTACTGGAAGGAATGAACCCACAACAGGAAGATCAGGGACAGGTGGATCAACAACAGGCACATCAGGAAGAACAGGGACAACAGTCGAAAGAGCTGAGACATCCGGACCATCTGTTGTTGATTTAGGAACATCTACACCATCAGCTATAGGGTCAGGCACAACTAGTCCATCATCTGAACAGTCAGGGGCCACTGGAGTAACACCTGGAGGGTCAGGGACAACTGGGTCAGGAGCTGGAGTACCTGGAACAACTGGATCACCACAGGGAGCTACTGGAAGGAATGAACCCACAACAGGAAGATCAGGAATAGGTGGATCAACAACAGGCACATCAGGAAGAACAGGGACATCAGTCGAAAGAGCTGAGACATCCGGACCATCTGTTGTTGATTTAGGAACATCTACACCATCAGCTATAGGGTCAGGCACAACTCGTCCATCATCTGAACAGGCAGGGGCCACTGGAGCAACACCTGGAGGGTCACAGACAACTGGTTCAGGAGCTGGAGTGCCTGGAACAACTGGATCACCACAGGGAGCTACTGGAAGGAATGAACCCACAACAGGAATATCAGGGACAGGTGGATTAACAACAGAAGCATCAGGAAGAACAGGCACATCAGTTGAAAAATCTGAGACATCTGGACCAACTGTGGTTGATTTAGGAACATCTACACCATCAGCTATAGGGTCAGGCACAACTAGTCCATCATCTGAACAGTCAGGGGCCACTGGAGTAACACCTGGAGGGTCAGGGACAACTGGGTCAGGAGCTGGAGTATCTGGAACAACTGGATCACCACAGGGAGCTACTGGAAAGAATGAACCCACAACAGGAAGATCAGGAATAGGTGGATCAACAACAGGCACATCAGGAAGAACAGGCACATCAGTTGAAAAATCTGAGACATCCGGACCATCTGTTGTTGATTTAGGAACATCTACACCATCAGCTATAGGGTCAGGCACAACTCGTCCATCATCTGAACTGTCAGGGGCCACTGGAGTAACACCTGGAGGGTCAGGGACAACTGGTTCAGGAGCTGGAGTACCTGGAACAACTGGATCACCACAGGGAGCTACTGGAAGGAATGAACCCACAACAGGAAGATCAGGAACAGGTGGATCAACAACAGAAGCATCAGGAAGAACAGGGACATCAGTTGAAAGAGCTGAGACATCAGGACCATCTGTTGTTGGTTCAGGAACATCTAGACCATCAGCTATAGGGTCAGGAACAACTGATCCAACAGCTGAATTGTCAGGATCCACTAGAGTAACACCTGGAAAATCAGGAACAAGTGGTTCAGCAACTGAAATGACAGGGACAACTCAATCAGCTCAAGGAACATCTGGATCATCAACTGTAGCATCAGAGAGAACAGAAACAGCAGCAGAAAGACCACGGACAACTGGAGTATTATCTGGAGGAACAGGGACAACAGGATCATCCACTGTGATAATCCCTGAAGCAGGAAGAACGGTGAAGCCAGGAAGTGAGATTACCACACCTGGAGGTAAGTTACTTTAGACAAAATAGACCTTTGAAAATAGGTAATATTAGTTTCGGTCAGATAATTTGGAGCTATACAAATACATTTATCAGGATTATACTATTTACACTGTGAATTTTGGAATGAAGATGGAAGCTCTGTGGAACATTATTCTTTAAATTGATATTTTATTGTTCTTAGTAAGTTTATGTTTTCACCCCTGCTGCCTTATATTTCAATAGATGCTCTCACACCATCCAAAAACTACAACACCTGGGCTCATAGTAGTTACATTGATAATGCCAGGTTGAACCCCCAAAATATAAACACTGCTTGTGACTTTCCACTTTTAATCCCAGGTTCCATAGGAAGCACCCCTGGCTCAACCAGTGCACCAGGAAGCCCCACCACTGGTCAGTACATTCAGTATGTTCATGCATTTTTTGACTTGTTTTCATTCTCATTGGCTTGTTTAAAAATGATTAAATAATTAATAAGAATACCAGTTAAATCATTAAAATGTCTTTAAATATATTCTTTTGTTTAACTGTTCGAATAGGACTATTGCCTCATTTTTCTTATGAAGAACTTAAAAAAAACATTTCTGAAGTTGGTCCAGGTGCCATAGCCAATCAAACAGTGGAGCCCATATATTTACTCATTGTTGACTGACTCAGGAGACTGTGTTCTTTACCATGTCTTCCTCTAGCAGTGGTTTTCAACCTGTGGGTCGAACGACCTTTTCACACAGGTTGCCTAAGACCATTGAAAAACAAAATTACAGTTATGAAGTAGCAACAAAAATAATTTTATGGTTAGGGGGTCACTACAACATGAAAAACTGTTCTATTAAAGGATTGTGGCATTAGGAAGGTTGAGAACCACTGCATTTAAGGCAATTGTACAATGATCTTCAATGACCCATTAATAAAAGCTTGATTTTCATAGGTATAAAACTTAAATTTTCCCATTTCTAACTGTAATAATTGCAGCAGTAGGTAATAAAAAAGGTTTAAATTTTTGTATACAAGACAAATTGTGGCATTTGTTTTGAAACAGATTTAGGACATTTTTCTTGATAAAACTACAATTGAATTAAATTATTTATTCAATTCTATAATACATTATTATTTAATTTTCTGGAAGAGTACTTAAGAAAGACTTCTATTCTCAATTTGCGGGTTATTTAATAGAAGCTAAGCTTCAGTGACTAAATTGTTTATTATTTAAGGAATAGATTGTTAATAATTTTTTCTGTTAAAGATTTATGCTACATCTATTCTTACTAATATTAAAAACTCCACTTATATATATTTATTTTACAAAGTAGCCACTAGAAAATTATTAATTCAAACATTTGATTCAGACCAAATTTAAAATTATTATTTACGTAATCAACAGTTATGTGTGAATTAATTTACATGCTTTATATTATTTATTAAACACCATAATTATATCATAAACTAATATCATGGCTTCTAGAATATGTGACTATTCGGTTATAGTGTCTACTTTGTCCTTTTGTGTGTGTGTGCTTTTTCCAAGTTTAAGATTTTAGTCTTAAATTAAATGGAATAAAGCAAGAATTAATGTGTGTAAATATTTTACTTGGGAAAAAGTATTTTCAGTTCAAAATTTGTAACTCATAAATGATTTTTTACAAGAACACTTTACAATTTCTCTTCTAAGAGACCGCTCATCCTGATTTGAAGTTTTAGATAAACCTCTATGGAAATAACACTTCTGTTTTTAATAAAAAATGTATATGTAATGGCAGTAGAAGCACTGAAGTGAATTTCTAAAATGAAATTCAAGAAGTATATTCTTTCATTGAAACATAAATTTAATCTTTTTTATTCTCAGCTATCAAAATTCCACCTGAACTAATTGTAGGTAAGTTGAAATTAAAATGAGAAAAATATATTTCTGTACAATATAGTTTGAAATAATATTTCTATCTTTTCCATTTGAGCACTGAAAAATAGTGAAGGGACTGTGATATTCTTCCTAAATTATAATTTAATACAAATTACTCTTGATGCATTGAAATAAATAAAATGTACATTTATATATATTTTGTGTTTTTAATTTTTAGTGCCTCCGAAATCTCCTAATGTAACAGGTGAGAAAATAGAAGATTATAAATATACATTTAAGGAATTGTGTTACAGTAACGAGAATAAAAAATTAGATAGCAAAAGTTACAATTTATGAGATTAATAAAATATAAACTTTAAATTAGGCTTCAGTAGCATATGCCTGTTGCTTTTTCTATTCTTATGCCTTCTTAAATCATAAAAAGTTGTATTGAATTCTTTACATAATAGCTAAATTTATATTGGTTGTGTACAAACATACAAAATCAATCAAATAAATAAAAATAACTCTATAAACATTCCCCTCATTGAAAAAGAAAGTTCCATATTTCTCAGCATATTAATATTGTCACCTACAATTTTCATGAAAATTCTTAGCTTTTATTGCATCCTCATATCTCTTTTAAAATTTAATAGTTTTCAAAAGAAAAGTTTGTTTTATAGAACATTTAACATTTTTTCAATTGTTCCCCTTCTGTGTTCTTTTAGCATTTACATTCAAATATAAGCTCCATGAAGACAGGTATATTTGTCTTCTTTTGTTCACTGACATAAAACCCCTCTGTAGTCCTTATGTGATGAGGTGTTTGATTTCGGTGCTTGTCCACCTGATCCACTGGATTCTGTCATTGTCGAATGGGGGCCACTCAATATGCACCACTTGGTGCCTAAACCAGAGAACTAAGAGATCTGTTAAAACAACAATTTCCAGCACAGGTGAAGTGAAATGATAAGGAAACCATCTATATGGAAGTGATGGAAATGCAGCTTTTTGTAGGCTTGCTGTGATGAAATCATACAAAATACCTCTTTCCAGCATCCCCAACACCCAGAACTGTTTCGTCTATTTTCTCCCGCAGAGGCCACCACTTCCACAGCAGGTGTGGTCACCACAGCAGATGGGTGGAGAGCAGGTGCGAAGCGGCGCATGCCTTCTGTTGGCCATGGGTTATGATGCTCATCGGAGAGCCGAGAGACAGAGTTTCTGGAGAGCTGTTCACATTCCCTTTACTAATACTGCGTTTTGTAGCAATTCATTCTTTTTAAGTTTTGAAATGTCCTGCAAAACACCTAAAAACCGAGTTCAGAATTATTGCTGTAATCCTTGAACATGGCATGACTGTCCCAATAGTTCTGAGTAATTTCTCCTGTGAAATTGTAGATAGTGTAAGATTTGAAGAGGAGAGTGAGAAATCTTTCTATTCCTGAAAAATAGAGAAGAGCTACATACATCCTTGAAACATATCTGCCCACGTAGATGTTGGCTTTTCACAACAAATCAGTGAGGAGCACAAAGCTGTCCCCACATCTGAAGTTTTCCAGACACTCAAACCTTCTTGTTTCCAACCCACAGCAGGCACCACTGTCGCATCAGAACGTGACATCACTGGGAGGAAAACAGGTGAGTGTGGAGGTACCCAACCACATCACCAAAACGCAATGCTGCCGGGAAGGTTGTCTTCGGTTGAGAGCATTGTCCCTCTGAAAGTCTTGGTAATAAAATGGTTCATTACCATGTTATTGGGAAAATACACAGGGCTCATCACCAAAGAGGAGGTGGACAGTGAGCCAGTGAGATACAAGGAAAATATACTGAGGTTCTTTTGAGGTGCATGTTTTTTGAGAAAGAAACATGACCCTGTGGTGACTACAGTTCCTTTTGTGTTTCAGGCACCACTGGGGTCGCCCCTGGCACAACTGTTGCCCCAGGCAGTTCCCAAACAGGTGAGTCCACGTTAGACGTCTCCTCTGAGATTATCCATCGCAGGGGTACCATCATGTCCTTTCCATGGTCCTGAAATATTCTCCAGTACCCTCTTTTCTCGTTCTCTCCCTCAGAGGCCACAACTTCACTTGGCAAAAGTGAAACAACCAGAATTGGAATGGACACAGGTGAGGGCTCTAATCCAATACCTGTCCTTCATCACACTCTCTTAAACAGTCTTCCGGAAATGTACCCACTCTATTTATATATGTTATATTGAGCAGTTTCAGATTAAAAAGACAAGCCAGTCCTTACAATTCTTCCGTATTGCTTGAGCTCATAGGAGCCTTTGCTGTACCACCACGAAATAAAATTAATGACAGATAAATAGTAACATGGAGAGAAAATTCTTCTCTCTCCTCCAAATTAAAGACATAATAGTTGAGAACTTAGTAAAAGAGTAATAAAAGTTTTTTCACAGGGGTCACAATGGATGATCTCTTGGAACTATAATTTATAGTTTGGTGCTACATTGAGGCAATAGATTCCAATCTACATCACATGGTGAACAAGCAATTAAATCAGTGACCTTTCTTGTTGTAGGTACTACTGGTATCGTCTCTGGAAAAACTCTGGAACCTGGTAGTCATGACACAGGTCAGTCTGAGAATACGTGCAAAATCTAGACATGGGCCCCTTAGATAACATATTATGAACACTACAGTGTGAATTTCTCACACCCTGGTCTTGACTCCTTCCTTTCTTTTCTCTATCAGAGGCCACAACTCCCATGGAGGGAAGTGGGACCACCCAAGCAGGACTTCTAGGAGGTGAGCCATTTAAGTATGAGACATTGTTGTTGTTTTTATCTCCCCCCACCCAATTTCCGTTAGAGTGGCTACAGTGAACACAGGAGTGGGAAGGTGGGCTGAAGGAATATGCCTACACTTTCTCTGGGAACACAATGTGTCACAGTCACAAAACTGGTTCAGCCCAGGAATTCTGTGGCCTCACATGACTCTATCATTATTTTCAGAGGCCCAACCTTGTAAAGCTAGGCAGGGATGAAGCCCACCAGTAAGCAAACCCTTGCCTACCAAGGCCCCAGTTGTTATGTATGACTTCCCATAGCACTTATTAACAGATATCAAATTGACTTATTTCTCACCTTGACTATTTACCACTGTTCTCCAGCTGCCAGAACATAAACCTCATAGGAGAGAAATCTTTGACTGTTCTGCTCAGTGGCACTTCCTAAGGCCTAAAATCATATTTCACAGAAGACCTGCTCAATAAATAACAGTGGAATGATGAAATGCGTATTTAGGTCGAAGCTCACTCTACTTGCTTTCATAGGCACCACCATGCTTGCACCCGGAGCCAGCAGCAGCTCCCAGAGGCCCAAGCCAGGTGGGGCCCTCAATAAATTCACCGTATGAATGTATGAGAACCTGAGTTCCACTTGAGACACTGGAGTATCAGAAGACCTCAAGTTAATTGATGAGTAACATTTAGAAAGCTAAATTGATCATCTGCTTTTTTCCTTCTGTAGGCACCTCTGTCCCGCCAGGAGGCCCAGGGACTGGAAGTGAAACAGGTGAGGTGACGGAAGGTCTGTTTTCAATTTCAGTGGGGTCTGGGGAAAAGGAACCCCGGTACCAACAAGGATAAATAGGTAGGTCAGCAAAGAAAACTGGGAAGTCATTGATGGTTCATTTCATTCAGAAACAGATCCTTAGGAAATGTCTCTTGGTCATTCCAGGACACATGGCGACCTCAGCACTGAAGAGGGAATGGTGCTGTGTTGATACCTTTATCTTTATTTTTTAGGTGCCACAGGAGGATTTTTGAGGACAACCATTATACCAGGGACTTCCCACACAGGTAGGTTATAAAGGAGAAATCTCCATTCTTAGCTTCACAATGTGGTTGATAGACCTGCCCTAATAAAATACCAACATCATTATTGTCTAACATCCCAAATCCTCAGACCTCACCATTCATCCTTTTCTTCCTTCAGAGGCCAGAACACTCACAGGAGGTGGGGGCAGCGTCGGAAGTGAATCCAGACCCGGTGAGATTGAGGGCCCCGCAGCTGGGGTTCGCCATGACTCGTCACGGTATTGGTTCGCCTGGCGGCAGCCGTCCTCCACTATGTGCGTAGATGTGACACGTCTGGAAAAGCTCTCAGCTGGCTCAGGGACGCACAGTCCTAGCATTCTGCAGAAAGGGTGGTGGTGAAATCAGTATGAGAGGTTTCTACTTTGCTGAGGGGGAGCTCGGAAGCATTATGTATCTCATCTGGAAAAACAGAGGAAACAATAGGAACACCTCATCAGGCCTATCCTATAGAATGGTTTTCCTGCTTAAAAGAGCAATACTAAGATTCAATAGTTTTCTCGCCACATTCAGTATTTTTCTGTGTTTCCCCTGACAGTGGGCAGCACTGCAGTACCTCCAGGCCCGGCGACGGCAAGAGTGACAGGTGAGCCTGGGTTAAAGCCACCTCTTTTCTCTGTTTAGAATGAAAGGACTGTGTAGGTGGGTACCTCAACTTGGGAACTCTTGTTTCTACTTTCTTCGCGATCCGAGTCTGAGGCGAGGCATAGATTCTCACCTCAGGAGGAAATAGTGAGAGGGTCCTTTGTGCAGGTACACCTAGATTCCTCCTAGAGGCAGGCCTTCAGGAGACAAACCGGTGTCACATTCGAGATCTCTGACCCTTTGTGTCTCAGGCACTACTGGTGGTGCTGCTGGCACAGCTGTTGGCCCTGGCACATCCGATCCAGGAGAGTCAACAGGTTGGCATAGAACCTTGCACTGAGCCCCCGTAACTTAGAAGTCCCTCTGGCAGAATCCATTGCAGGGGGACCCCTATATCTTTCCCAAGATCCTGAAATGTCCTCCAATCACCCTTTTCTTCATTCTTTCCCTCAGAAGCCACGACTTTCCTTGAAGAAGGTGGAACAACCAGAGTTGGAATAAACAAAGGTGAGCACTGAAAGCTAGCACCTTCACTTCATAATAATGTCTTAAAACAATCTTCTGAAAATGTATCTACATTATTTATACACATGTTGTCAAACAAATTCAGATAAAATAAAAGATAACGCGGTTGTTACATAGCCTACTTATTGCCTAGGCTTACGGAGCCTGCACTAGATAGACCATTATGAAGTTAAACTAATGACATAAATAATAATGTGGGGAGAATATTTTAAGTTCGCCTCCAAAGTAAGAGACATGGTCGTTGAGAACTCTGAAAAAGAATTAAAGAAAAAAATGTTACATGGGGCACAGTGGATGACTTCTTTGAACTGAGTCACAGGGTTATTGTTTGCTGATACGTGGAGACTAGATACTTATTTAAATCACATGGTGAACAAGCAGCTGAGGTTTTGACCACTGCCCCTTTCTTGTTGTAGGTACGACTGGCAGAGTCTCTGGGAAAATTCAGAAACCTTGGAGTTACCACATAAATAACTCAGAGAATTCATACAAAATCTGGACATTGGCACCTTTGATGACACATTCTGACAATCGCAAGCTGTACACATTCCTCCAACCTCGAATCCTTCCATAACATCCACAGAGAAAGTGGGACCACCCAAGCAGAACTCTTAGAAGCTGAACTTTTTAGTTTGTAGCTTTGGGATGTTTATCAAATTCCTGTTTGTGTAGCTAGAGTGAACACACACGTGGCAAGAAGGGCGGAGGAAATAAATCTGCATTTCTCCTGGGAACACAATATTCCAGAGTCAGAAATTTGGGTCAACCTAATAATTCCATGGACTCACATGTCCCCAGCATTATTTCCAGAGGCCCAGTCTTGCAGAGGTTGTTGTTGACGGCAGGGATGAGTCCTACATACCGGCCAGGCCTTGCCTGCCAAGGTCCCAGTCCATATATATAGCTTAATATTTCCCCATGGCACTGACATCCATCTAATTGACTTATTTGTCATGTTTATTGTTCACTGCTGGACACAAACTGCTCCAATGTAGCACGTTAGGGGAGGGAATCTGAATATTCTGTTCACGGGTACATCCAAAGGCCTAAAATAATATTGCAGCGAAGACTTGCCTAATACATGTGTGTGGAGTGGTGAAAGGTATTTACATCGAAGCTCACACTACTTGCTTTCATAGGCACCACCACACTTTCACCAGGAGCCAGCAGCAGTCCCCAGAGAACCAAGCCAGGCAGGGCCACTGAGCGAATTCACCACTTGAGAGTCACAGGGTTCTATTTTAAACACCGAATATCAAATTACCTCAATTAATTTGTGAAAAACATTTAGAAAGTTGAATTAATCACCTGATTTTTTTCCCCTGTAGGCACCTCTGTCACACCAGGGAGCCCAGGGACTGGACGTGAACCAGGTGAGGGAGACACAGGTTTCCTTCCATATTCAGAGGGATCCGCGGAAAAGGAAGGACAGTAGAAACATGATCATTAGGTGGAAAAGGACACGTGGAAAGTCACTGATGGCTCATTTTTTTTCAGAAATAGAGGGCTCAGGAAATGTCTCCCCATTGTCAAGGCCACATAGGTGCTTCAGGTTGAGGGGGAGCGAATGCTGTGTTGACGGCTTTGTCTTTCTCACTTTTAGGTGCTACACAGGAATTTTCTGGGACAACCATTATACCTGGGAGTTCCCACACAGGTAGGTTAACAAAAAGAAATCCCCATATTTAAACTCATAATATAGCTACTGGCTCTGATAAAATATCAACATAATCTCCCCCCTAATATCCCCAAACCTCAGAACTCAAATTCATCCTTTTCTTCCTTCAGAGGCCACAACATTAACAGGAGGCGGTGTCACTGCCGGAACTGGATCGAGACCTGGTGAGAATGTGAACCTCCCAGTTGGGTTTGCATGAATTTGGAATCTTCATGGGCACACCAGTTAGGAGGCGTGCTTTATGCAGACTGGTTTGAACTTTCTTTCAGCATTTTCTTAGATTTAACATATTTGGAAAGCTCTCAACTAGATTCTAGATTCACAGCTAAACTTTCTAAAGAATTGCTTGTAGTGGAATCAGTATACGAGGTTTCTGCTGTGACGGCATACAAATGACTAAGGTGTCGGGAGGAACTGAGAAACAGCATTTGTCTAAGAAGAAGAGAAAGCAATGTGGATTCTTCTTCTTCTTTTTTTTTTTTATCCTCACCTGAATACATTTTTGCATTTATCTTCAGATAAAGTGGGAGGGAGGTGAGGGGAGAGATAGAAACATCGATGTGAGAGAGACACATGGACTGGTTGCCACCCACATGACCCCAACTGGGCCGGGAACAAACTACAACCAAGGTACGCGCCCTTAGTGGGAACCGAACCTGAGTCTCTCTGGACCACAGGCCGATGCTCTAACCGGTGAGCCAAACTGGCCAGGACCAATGTGGATTCTTAACAAGCTTATCCTAAACAAAGGTGTTCTTGCTCAAAAGAACAGTAAGATTCAATATTTTTTGAAACAGTCAGAAAGTTTTCTTGGTTTTCCTCCCACAGTAAGCACCACTATAGTACCACCAGGCCAAGCTCCTGGGGGCGTGAGAGGTAAACCAGAGAAAAAGCCCCTGTTTTTTCCCAACTCAAAATGAATGGAATGTCTTGGGATGGTGCCCCATGCTGGGAAAATGACTATTCTTGTTGCCTTCTAAGAGATACGGGTCATAGAAACAGGTTAGATTTTGCTTCATCTTGAATTAGTGAGGGATCCTTTGCTGTAACAAAGATGCACCCGGACTCCTTCTAGAGTCAGGCATTCAGAGACAAACACGTGTCACCTGAAGATCTCTGACCCTTTGTGTTTCAGGCACCACTGGGGCAGCTCCTGGAACAACCATTTCCCCTGGGAGTTCCAACACAGGTGAGACAACAGCTTAACGTAGACTCTTACACAGGCCTCCAGCAAATTAGGTGTCACCTCTGGGATCACTCATTGCAGGGGTACCACTGGATCTTCTCCATGATCTTAAGTATTCTCCAGTTACCCCTTTTCCACCTTCTCCCCCTCAGAGGCCACAACATTCCTAGGAGAAAGTGGCACTAAGGTTGGACCAGACACAGAGGAGCACCGCGAAACTCACACCTGCACTTCATAATCACTTCTTAAACAATATTCTGAAACTATTCTACACTATTTATACCTGTTCTATTGGGAAATTTTAGTTAAAAAAAAAAAAAAAGACAAGGCATTTACTACTTTGCTTCCTTATTTCCTCAGTTTAAAAGATTCTTCACTAGACCATCATGAAGTCAAACAAATGATAGACATGTAGGAATAAGTATAAAGAAATTTCATATCTTCCCTCTAAAAAAAGAGACGTAGTAGTTGAAAAGTTAAAGTATTGTAAAAAGAAATACTCCATGGGGCTCAGATGGATGACTTTCTGGCACTAAAAGTCACAGGGTTATACTTTGCTGCTACATGGGGACATAGATGCCTATTTAAATCACGTGGTGAACAAGCAATGGGAGAGTGACCAACGCTCCTTTCTTGTTGCAGGTACTACTGGTATAGTCTCGGAAGAAACCCTGGGACCTGGACCTTACATCACAGGTAAGTCTGAAAATATGTGCACGTTGGACTCCGGCGCCTTGGCTGATGCACTCTGTCCGTGTGCTTATCACCTGCTGGTCTGTACATCGTCTTCTCTTTTCTCCATCAGAGGCCACGACTTTCACGGGAGGACGTGGGACCTCCCAACCTGAAATTCCTGGAGGTGAGCTTTCTCAGTCTGAGCTTTTGCTTTTTTTTTTTAAACAAAGTTCTTGTTTGTGTGGCTTCAGTGAAAGCCAGAGTGAGAAGGTTAGCTGAGGATATGAGCCTGCATTTCCTCTGGGAACACGTCAAAATTA